ATAATTCCATATGCTTTGAATGGTAGTATTAATCCTTACGTAACAACAAACAAGGAACTGCGCATACGGTCAATGGAAATCCAGCGTTGTCAAAGGATGTGGTTCTTAAAATCTAGGTTCTTATACGCGGGTTTTACTACATCGAAAATGTAAAACAGAATCACCAATAAGTTCCCACCCTGGGGGGAGAAAAACTCCGAGCTGTTTGTTTACTGATGAGCACGGAAAGCGAGAATAAAGGAGTAAGGGATTGGAAGGAAGGAGGGGAGGGAGGGGTGGGTAATTTGATACCATGTTATTAGTGGAGGATTAAAAACGGCAAACTGCCTCAATCTCTTGTAATGAATTCATATCACCTTGATAAAATTTTAGCGGATATTTAAAGTTGGGAGGAGTTTGAGGAAAAACTATCTTTCGCAATATTACGTGTTAAATTTTTCACCAGTCCGGTTGTCAAGCAAGTCCTAGGGGTAGGAAATATGACAGCACATCTGCGACGTCAATTGAAATTCCATTTGACTTCAAATCACACACAAAATGACTGAGCCTCGTTAGAAGGTCACTCACTCATCACGAATCATATCCGGCAGTGTTCGGAGAAAAACAGGAAGTCTCAGACCAACTTCCTCAGTGGAAGATGCCATCAGTCTACAGCATCTGTTATAAGATCTTTTTGTGACGTTTTTGTTATTTTGTTCAGAGAAATATCAATAACTGAATATTAGATTTATAATGTGTTCTCTCGTATGCTTCATTAGTTTTCAAATTTTCCTGGATGGCTGCGTTTTGGGAGCTATTTCTGGATGAACTTACGTCACTTTTGTTAACGTAATTCAGTTGATCGAAGTGAAACAGAGAGCTTAATTATAAAGGAAGGGAAAATCCCATAGGTTCAACATTTTCTTGGTAGAGGAGTTGATTGTTGCTTCATGTAAGGTTTGTACAAGTGCCTGTTATTTGTGGAGGAAAATACAATTGACTTTTATACTTAAACTTGTCTTACAAAGTATGATTTGCTCGTAGATCCCTTGGTAGTGACAAGTCAAGCGAAGTATCAAGACTATTTGGGAATTCATAACTGAGGTACGCATTGCATAGGCTCAAGTTTTTTTTAAACTCCAAGGTTCCTTATTTGGTTGTATACCTGCCACCTCTCACGCCTGCGGACTAAAGACATCAATCTCGCGCATCAAGGACAATTCAGCTGACAATTTCGCACGCCTGACTCGCAAAGTACTCGTGCATACATGGTTATCATCCCACTGTGTATGAAAGCTAAATGAAGGGAAAAATCCCTCATACAAGATTCATCTTTCACTTGGTGAATGTTTTGATTGACGGTCAGGTTAGTTTTGTGCAGGTCCCGTTATTTCATTTGTGAAGAAAAATTCAATTGCCTTTTATACATAAACTTGTGTTACAAAGTATCATTTCCTCGTAGACCCTTTCGTCGTCACGAATCGAGGACCCACTGCTGTACTCTTGAGAACTATCAAGATTCGGGAATTTACAGCTGAGGTATGCATTTAATACGTTAGCTGCAGTGACACACTGACACCTCGGTTGATTTTGAAATGCCCTTGGCTTTGATCGCTGGGAAACGTTCTGACCAGCTTAGATCAGTCGACATCGGCACTATATATCCATATTGATGAAACAGAACCATCAATGAGTTCTCATTCGGGAGGAGGAAAACCCCGAGCCGTTTACTTACTGATGAGCACGGAAAGTGAAAATTTGTCAGACTGCTTAGCAGGCGTCAACAAGGGTAAGGGATTGGACAGGGGAAGGGAGGGGTGGGGTGGGGAATTTGATACCCGGGGATTAGTAGACGATTGAAACAAACTGTCTCAATCTCATGTAATGAAATCATATCACCTTGATAAAATTTTTGCGGATATAAAAAGTTGGTAGGAGTTTGAGGGAAAATTAATTTTTCATAATATTACGACTTAAATTTGTCACCAGTCCGGTTGTCAAGCAAGTTCCAGGGGTAGGGCATATGACAGCACAGCCGCGACGTCAATTGAAATTCCATTTTACTTCAAATCACACAAAGTGACTGAGCCTCGTGAGAAGGTCACTCATCACGAATCATACCCGGCAATATATTCAGGGAAAAAACAGAAAGTCTCAGACCAACTTCCTCAGTGGAGGATTCCATCAGTCTACGGCATTTGTTATAGATTTTAGTTTTTGTGAGGTTTTTGTTATTTTGTTCAGAGAAATATAATAACTGTATATGACATTTAATGTGTTCTCTCGTATACTTCATTAGTTTTCAAATTTTCCTGGATGGCTGCATTTTGGGAGCTATTTCTGGAAGAACTTACGTTGCTTTTGTTGACATAATTCAGTTGATCAAAGTGAAAAGGAAATCTTAATTATAAAGGAAGGGAAAATCCCATAGGTTCAACAATTTCTTGGTAGAGGGGTTGATTGTTATTTGTGAAGGAAAATGCAACTTACTTTTATACTTTAACTTGTCTTACAAAATATGATTTGCTCGTAGATCATTTGGTCGTGACAAATCAAGCGAAGTATCAAGACTATTTTGGGAATTTATAACTGAGGTACGGCATTGCATAGGCTGACGTTACACTTAAGGTTCCTTTATACGGTGGCTCATAGGAACAAAACACGTCCCAGAATCCAAAACACTTCGCCAAAACGCTTCCCAGAATCCAAAAGTGTTTTGGATTCTGGGAAGTGTTTTGTCCCCATGAGCCACGGTACCTTTACCTTTGCATTACACATTATTAGGTTGTATACCTGCCACCAAGGGTCCTTTACCTTAGAAACTCGGCATTATATACCGTTGTATACCTGCCACCTGTCACGCATTATATGCACGAGTCTCACGCACGCGAACTAAAGACACCAATCTCGCGCATCAAGGGCAATTCAGCTGACAATTTCTCACGCCTGACTCGCAAATTATTCGTGCATTCATGGTTATCATCGCACTCTGTATACAGTTGAACCTCCATTAAGCGGCCATAATCAAAGTCCCGAAATAATTTTAGAAAAGAATGGGAACTTAAATCTCTATTGAGCGGCCACCTCTATTAAGCCTGTACACAGACGCAAATTTGTACTTTTTACATGGATTCAGTGCTTGATAATGAAGGCCCGCATATTCAATAATCATAAGTCATGATCACTTTGATAAATCTTTAATAATTCATCCTTAATGACATTGCTTCACGTACCGGTAATCTGATTTTCTATTTCAGTGATTATGTTTTCACCTTACTGTTACTACCCTGCGAGCAGAGATTTCTTGCATGGCTTTTAGCGTCAGACGAAGTCATTTGCGTGGCTTGTCTGTCGCGTAGTTGGTTTGTTTACGCCCCGTGAGAAACCTGTGCAGCAAGCCGCTTGGGATTTCCATTGAGCATGCGCCAGATTAATAATTCGTTGCTATAGAGATAATGACCTAAATTTATCACTTAAAGTGCCGTCGACCGCAAATACGTCTGCTGTTCGCAGGCTACCCATTTCCGGACAAACAAACGTGGATGATTTAAAATCGATCGCTTTATTCAAACTTTTAATCACTGCTTTTGTAGCATACATGCGATAGTTTCAGAGGTGACGACTATATCGTACATTAGACTTAAACTATCGCATGTATACTACAACCTTACAATATACGTGTTGCACACTAATGCCAAGGACAAAGACAAACCAGAGGACAGACAGGAAGCAAGAATTAAAGATCAAATGCTGCGACTGCCAGGCTACTTACATAGGTGAAACCCGCAGAAATCTTAGCTCGCGATTGACCGAACGCAAACGAGCGACGAGAAATGGTGACGTCAACAATCACATTGCGCATCACCATTTACAGACAAAACATTAAATCGACTGGGACTCTGCGACATGTATTACGTATTCTCAGAATACTATCAACGACCCACTTTAGAAAGCTGGTTTACTAACTGAGAAAAAACGTCATTGAATCGTAGTCAATAGTTGCCGGCACCGTACAAACGACTTTATTGACAGACTCAAGCAGAAATAATTACAAGAGAATGACTGGACAACCGACAATTTGCCTAACATAAACGACTGTTTAACTGTGACAATATAGACGGATGGAAAGTCAACTGTTCAATGACATTACGAGTCTTCATAGCCGATATTAAAATCACTGCTTAACTGACAAACGACCAATAACATCGCGACTTAATTGTCCAATCAGATCAATAACCAGAGTTTAATACAGTCGAACCTACTGTTAGGGAGCACCCAAAATGCAAAGACTTAGTGGTCGCTTACAAGAATCGAACCACAGGGGGCCTCTTCCGAAAAGAGATCTGGGCACATTTACTTTATGGAAGATGATTTACTGCATACAATTTCTAAGTTATGGCATGTGCGTACATGTCGTATATTCTAAGTGGCAGAGTGCACACAGCGAACGTAGAGATCAGAGAATGCTTCAAGTGGTCGCTTACGAGAGCTTAAAGACAATGGAAATTCATTAAACTTTCGGGCCCAAAAAGTGGTCGCGGCCGCTTACAGGAGGTGGTTGTTTGCTAGAGGTTCCAACTGTAAGCTTTGACTGGGAACTTTTTGGTGTTTTTGATAGGCGGTGTCTTATGGGAGGTAGTCGCACATGGAGGTTTGACTGTACCATCAACTGACGTAACAGTAAAGGAGCTAATAAATATTAAGCTTTTACTCTTACTTTTTTTTAAATTTCGATCATTATCACCCATTTTTAAAGAAGACCAAAGTCCATCAAGTCATATTATACAATGATGAAAAACACGTAGAAGGATCCTTTTTCAGGCAACTCAAATGCGACTTTGATAGACAAAAACAAATAGTAAAGGAGCTAATAAATAAGCTTTTACTCCAGCTTTTAATTTTACTTTTCAGACCCTCTTCATTATCGTAGGCAAAGAGAAATGGTATCAGCAGAAAAAAGAAACCTTAATAAGTATTTTTTTTTTTAGACGAGCTGAAATAGCAAAGACAGCACAAAAAATATGACAACCACAGCTATTAATGGTAATATTGGCGACGCCTATGTCAACTTTAAATATTTCCAGAACGCTCTAGGCATCGCCTATCACAATCTTGGAGATTTCCGGAAAGCCATAGAGTGCCATGAACGACACCTCAAAATTTCGAAAGAGGTGGGAGACAGGGCAGGAGAAGGAAGAGCGTACTGTAATCTTGGCATCGCCTTTAAAAATCTTGGAGAGTTCCAGAAAGCCATAGAGTACCATGGACGACACCTCAAAATTTCGAAAGAAGTGGGAGACAGGGCAGGAGAAGGAAAAGCGTATGGTAATCTTGGCAACGCATATGATAGTCTTCAAGACTTCCAGAAAGCCATAGAGTACCATGAACGAGACCTCAAAATTTCGAAAGAAGTGGGAGACAGGGCAGGAGAAGGAAGAGCGTACTGTAATCTTGGCAACGCCTATAACGGTCTTGGAGATTTCCAGAAAGCCATAGAGTACCATGAACGAGACCTCAAAATTTCGAAAGAACTGGGAGACAGGGCAAGAGAAGGAAGAGCGTACTGTAATCTTGGCAACGACTTTCAAAGTCTTGGAGATTTCCAGAAAGCCATAGAGTACCATGAACAGCACTTCAAAATTTCAAAAGAAGTGGGAGACAGGGTAGAACAAAGAATAGCGTGCTGTCATCTTGGCAACGCCTATGACAATCTTGGAGATTTCCAGAAAGCCGTAGAGTACCATGTACGAGACCTCAAAATTTCGAAAGAAGTGAGCAACAGGGCAGGAGAAGGAAAAGCGTACTGTAAACTTGGCAACGCCTATTTTCGTCTTGGAGATTTCCAGAGAGCCATAGAGTACCATGAACGAGACCTCAAAATTTCGAAAGAAGTGGGAGACAGGGCAGGAGAAGGACGAGCGTATGGTAATATTGGCAACGCATATGATAGTCTTGGAGATTTCCAGAAAGCCAAGGAGTGCCATGAACGACACCTCAAAATTTCGAAAGAAGTGGGAGACAGGACAGGAGAAGGAACAGCTTATGGTAATCTTGGCGTCGCCTATAGACATCTTGGAGATTTCCAGAAAGCCATAAAGTACCATGAACGAAACCTCAACATTTCGAAAGAAGTGGGTTACAGGACAGGAGAAGGAAATGCGTATGGTAATCTTGGCAACGCATATGACAGTCTTGGAGATTTCCAGAAAGCCATAGAGTACCATGAGCGACACCTCAAAATTTCAAAAGAAGTGGGAGACAGGGCAGGAGAAGGAAAAGCGTATGGTAATCTTGGCAACGCATATGGCAGTCTTGGAGACTTCCAGAAAGCCGTAGAGTACCATGAACGAGGCCTCGAAATTTCGAAAGGGGTGGGAGACAGGGCAGGAGAAGGAAAAGCGTACTGTAATCTTGGCAACGCCTATCACAGACTTGGAGACTTCCAGAAAGCCATAGAGTACCATGAACGAGACCTCAAAATTTCGAAAGAAGTGGGAGACAGGGCAGGAGAAGGAAAAGCGTATGGTAATCTTGGCAACGCATATGGCAGTCTTGGAGATTTCCAGAAAGCCGTAGAGTACCATGAACGAGGCCTCGAAATTTCGAAAGGGGTGGGAGACAGGGCAGGAGAAGGAAAAGCGTACTGTAATCTTGGCAACGCCTATCACAGACTTGGAGACTTCCAGAAAGCCATAGAGTACCATGAACGAGACCTCAAAATTTCGAAAGAAGTGGGAGACAGGGCAGGAGAAGGAAAAGCGTATGGTAATCTTGGCAACGCATATGGCAGTCTTGGAGATTTCCAGAAAGCCGTAGAGTACCATGAACGAGGCCTCGAAATTTCGAAAGGGGTGGGAGACAGGGCAGGAGAAGGAAAAGCGTACTGTAATCTTGGCAACGCCTATCACAGACTTGGAGACTTCCAGAAAGCCATAGAGTACCATGAACGAGACCTCAAAATTTCGAAAGAAGTGGGAGACAGGGCAGGAGAAGGAAAAGCGTACGGTAATCTTGGCAACGCCTATGGCAGTCTTGGAGATTTCCAGAAAGCCGTAGAGTACCATGAACGAGGCCTCGAAATTTCGAAAGGGGTGGGAGACAGGGCAGGAGAAGGAAAAGCGTACTGTAATCTTGGCAACGCCTATCACAGACTTGGAGACTTCCAGAAAGCCATAGAGTACCATGAACGAGACCTCAAAATTTCGAAAGAAGTGGGAGACAGGGCAGGAGAAGGAAAAGCGTACGGTAATCTTGGCAACGCCTATTTTCGTCTTGGAGATTTCCAGAAAGCCATAGAATACCATGAACGAGACCTCAAAATTTCGAAAGAAGTGGGAGACAGGACAGGAGAAGGAAGGGCGTATGGTAATCTTGGGATCGCCTTTAAAAATCTTGGAGAGTTTCAGAAAGACATTGAGTACTATGAACGACACCTCAAAATTTCGAAAGAAGTGGGAGACAGGGCAGGAGAAGGAAGAGCGTATTGCAATCTTGGCAACGCCTATGACAGTCTTGGAGATTTCCAGAAAGCCATAGAGTACCATGAACGACACCTCAAAATTTCGAAAGAAGTGGGAGACAGGGCAGGAGAAGGAAGAGCGTACGGTAATCTTGGCAACACCTTGAGAAATCTTCGAGATTTCCAGAGAGCAATAGAGTATTATACGAAGAGTCTTATAGCCTTCGACCACATCAGGGGAAATCTCATATCTAATGACGAATGGAAGATTAGCCTTAAAAGTACGTATGATTATATTAATTTGAGGCTCTGGGAGCTGCAGTTTAAGGAAGGTAAAGTCATCGAGGCACTTTTAACTGCTGATCAAGGACGAGCACAAGCTTTAAACGATATTCTGGAGTTCAAGTATGGCCTTAAAGGGCTGCGCCCAGAAATAGGAACATTTTGTGCAAGACCAAGTGACTTTGCTAGTTACTTACCACCAAACACAGCTTTCATGGGTATTAGCGAGGGAGGAATAGTTCTCTGGGTGAACGAGAAAGGAAACGAAATCAAAACTAGAAGAACTGAGTTCGATATCTCCGTCACAACCTATTTTCAGTCTCTTTTGGAAAATACACGTGAAGAAATAGGTATGAGAACTGATGTTAATTGCGAAGATCGCTCATTAAGTAACCCAAGCGATAAAAAGTTATCAGAAGAAAGATCCAGTAAGCCAAAGTCTCATTCCTCGTCTTTTGAGGAGGCAAAGTCATTACAAACATTTTACAAAGTCGTCATAGACCCTATAAGAGACTTACTCGACGGCGATGAAGTTGTGATTGTTCCACAAGGACCACTGTGTTTGGCGCCTTATGCTGCTTTCATGGACTTGAAATCAAAGTACCTCTGCGAAACGTTTAGAATTCGTGTGCTCCCCTCGCTTTCTAGCCTAAGATTGATCCAAAATTGTGCAGCAGATTGGCACAGTAAGACTGGCGCTCTTCTCGTCGGCGATCCGTGGGTACAGGAGGTAACGACGCTAGGGCAGTTAGAGTGGGCCGCAAAAGAAGTGCAGATGATTGGGGAAATACTTCAAACGGAACCTCTCGTGGGAAAGCAGGCAACAAAAGATGAAGTTTTCAGACGTATCTCGTCGGTTGCTTTGGTGCACATTGCTGCTCACGGTGAAATGGAAACAGGAGAAATTGCCTTGGCCCCGAACCCAACGCGTTCATCCTTAAATCCAGCCAGGGAGGACTATATCTTAACTATGAAAGATGTTTTAAAGGCGCAGATTAGGGCAAGACTTGTTGTACTTAGTTGTTGTCATAGCGCTCGGGGAGAAGTCAAATCTGAGGGTGTGGTCGGCATCGCACGAGCTTTTTTGGGTGCTGGTGCTCGTGCTGTTCTGGTGTCCTTGTGGGCGATCGACGACGAAGCTACTATGGAGTTCATGAAAGTTTTCTACCAAGAGCTAGTCTGTGGAGGAAGTGCCAGTGAGTCCCTGAATAAAGCAATGAAATCCATGAGAGAATCGGACCGCTTTAACGCAGTGAAGTACTGGGCGCCGTTTGTTCTCATTGGTGATGACGTAACGCTCGAGTTTGAAGGCATCCAATAAATTAAGAAAGGTATTTTGGGATATATTTAAACCTGGGATCATAATCCCTGCTTTTGCAAACTTCAAACTATTTTTGTCGCTTTATAGGGCAACGAACTCAACCAGTGGGTCAAGTTGACAGCAACAAAGGAGTCTGACTTTGGTAATTTGTTTGGCAGTTAAACACTATAAAATTTATTTCAAATCTCATGTTTTTTTCACATTTCAATGTGTTGGTGGCCCCGTTTGAGTTCGTCCCATTGAAACTTATAGTGGACCTGACGTAAGCGTCTACCCAAAATGCCAAGTTCAAATTTCCGGGCGCTTTATAGTTTTAAGGAAGGTGGTCGCTTAGGAAAGTCCCCAGATATTGTAAATCCCCTATTTAACCTCCCAGGGGGTTATTCATTTCAAGAACGTTTGAGAGGGAGGAGGTCTTATTTAATTAAGCGAAGATTGTGCTATCATTTCTCCATAAAGAACTGGAATGCAAAGTGGAAAAGCTCAGTCAAATGAAGTTGGAGGTCATGAAGCCGAAGATCAAAATCAAATGCGAACTTCGAGTTAGTGAATAAGTCATACCGGATGATCAGTCTATATGAAGTGTTACAGTCGTGATAAATTAACACATCTAACATAGGTCTATTGTTAATATAAAAATAGGGAGAGTGGGGTTCAGTAACTTTCTTTCTCTGTAAAGCTGTAAAGGAGTGCTTATTAGAAAGGAGGGCTTACCGATAGATGGTATGCAAGTTTCTTTAATCTACAATAAGTCTAATCGTTGGCTGAAGTTATCAGTTTAAATGGGACGCTTTGCTCTAACAGATTTAGGGCGTGTTCGATTCACCGTATTCCGCGTCCCAAATAAGAATTAATGAAATAAACTCGCTAGAAATCATTTGTTTTGGCTTTCATTGTATTGCAATATCTACAAAAATGATTGAAATAAAATATTGTGATCTATATAAACTTTAAATGGTTCAAAATTGCAATATAGAAGAGGTTTGTAAGAAAACTTTTAAAAAATACGATTACAATTAAAATAGTTACGATCACTCGAGCGGACTCTTAGACGTCAATTTGTCAAAATTTTATGCCCCGCTAGTTGAAATCACTTTCCTTCTCTTCGTCTAGCTTGCTAACGTTGCTTTTTGCTGTTTTTTGTTTTTGTTTTTGTTTTATAGGTATGATGAAGAATGCAGTGAAGTTGAAGTCAGTTTCTAATTTTCACAATTACGAAGCCGTGGAGCGTTCCTCCCAAGAAGGAACACCTTATCGCGAATAAAAAATTGTATGCTGTTAGTAACTAAGTTGGAGCCTTTCGTTGACTGAAAATTATAGTGTACGTTTCGTAGCTTATTTTGCGACCATGGCCAGTTGTTTGCATTTGCAATTTGTTTCATAGTCACCTGAAAAATATCACGAGTCAGTAATCAATTTCGGCTATTTTCGTTGTTATACCGTATGTGACAGAGACAATTTCTAACGTGTTTATTTAATATTAATAGTTATTTTTAATAAATAGTTAATATAGTTAATAAAGTTTTTTTTAAATATTTTTTTAAAATGTAGTTTAACGGTTTTATTATTGACATCCAGTGTGCTGTTGTAGTTTTTAATTCTTTCGTCAGATCGGTTGAAGTTTATTAGTGTTTAGGAAAGTCTCCAATGCATTCTAATACTAAAGTCAAATTCCCAGTTCAGTTGGTAGGTTAAATCACAAAAATGTAGTTTTACATTTACTCGTCTCTTTTTAAGGTGACTCGACCCAGTTTTTTTTGGGGGGTACCATCCTACTTTGAAGCTCTCTGGTATCCCCACCTTTACTTTTATCGTAAGTCTAACACATAGAATGGATAACATATAGATCAATCTACAATATAACATAAAATTTTTGGCGATCGGAGTAAATGTCACGTGGTTATAATGCCACGCCCCTTTGAGGTCTGAGTCGAAAATCTGCTGTTGCCGGCATTTTTTCGTGAAAATCTCTCGGCTACACATAGTGCGCATTAGTGCCTTGCGCTGAACAGAGTTTCACCAAAATCGCAAAGACCCAATTCGAGAAATTCAGCGGTTTCCAAATTTAGGTCATAATTTATGCGAAAATGATAAGCAAACTTTACACGGATTATATCTAATAAACTATGAGATTCATCTCTTTATTTTGGGCATCGTTATAACAGATGGGTCCTTGCAAGTCAGCAAAACGCTTTAGGGCCTTGTAAATGCGCGCGATTTCGAGCAAAGCAAACATATAGAAATTATAGTTTTCGCTATTTGTTGACGTTTGTCAGCGTTTAAGAGTCCTTCTCACGAAAAAAGCATTTTCTTAAAAATTCGTAGTTTTTTTTCCTTCAAATTTTTTCAGGGCCACAATTGATTAACTAACTACCCGGACTCTGAATTTCATGGTCATTGAAAAACTGTGACATTATCTTCTATAAGCCCAAACTTGAGTAAACATTGAAGATTTTTAGCGTTTTGGCTGAGTTTGTGCTTTGGGAGTTGTCTATTGTTTCTAGTCTGTCATTATACAGCATTCTTGTTCAGCACGCGTGCAATGACCACGCTTGGCTGACTTCCGAATGCTCACCGAGATATTCCCGTCACGAGTTGGTTTAATTATTGGCTTGCATTAAACCTATGAAAAAATGATATTTTTTTAATAGTAAGTAGATTTAGTGTGTAGCACTTCTTGATTTTTTTGCAAAGGCACAAGAAGCACGAGAATTGATTAAAAATTGTGACTTAAACCTCTATGTATCACGCGATGGCCTGTCTCACTGTACCAAAATTATTATATCTCGGTGAGCATTCGGAAGTCAGCCAAGCGCGGTCATTGCACGCGTGCTGAACAAGAATGCTGTATAATGACAGACTAGAAACAATAGACAACTCCCAAAGCACAAACTCAGCCAAAACGCTAAAAATCTTCAATGTTTACTCAAGTTTGGGCTTATAGAAGATAATGTCACAGTTTTTCAATGACCATGAAATTCAGAGTCCGGGTAGTTAGTTAATCAATTGTGGCCCTGAAAAAATTTGAAGGAAAAAAAACTACGAATTTTTAAGAAAATGCTTTTTTCGTGAGAAGGACTCTTAAACGCTGACAAACGTCAACAAATAGCGAAAACTATAATTTCTATATGTTTGCTTTGCTCGAAATCGCGCGCATTTACAAGGCCCTAAAGCGTTTTGCTGACTTGCAAGGACCCATCTGTTATAACGATGCCCAAAATAAAGAGATGAATCTCATAGTTTATTAGATATAATCCGTGTAAAGTTTGCTTATCATTTTCGCATAAATTATGACCTAAATTTGGAAACCGCTGAATTTCTCGAATTGGGTCTTTGCGATTTTGGTGAAACTCTGTTCAGCGCAAGGCACTAATGCGCACTATGTGTAGCCGAGAGATTTTCACGAAAAAATGCCGGCAACAGCAGATTTTCGACTCAGACCTCAAAGGGGCGTGGCATTATAACCACGTGACATTTACTCCGATCGCCAAAAATTTTATGTTATATTGTAGATTGATCTATATGTTATCCATTCTATGTGTTAGACTTACGATAAAAGTAAAGGTGGGGATACCAGAGAGCTTCAAAGTAGGATGGTACCCCCCCCAAAAAACTGGGTCGAGTCACCTTAAGGATTGCTATTTCATAGCCAAGACGTATTCGCGTACCTTGTTTTTACCATCAAGTTTACAGATTTCGCCAGTCGACACCTTTTATCGGAAAGTTTCAGTGAAGCTTGTCGTAACTTTGGCCTTTTACTGTAACCCCTTTTCTTGTCACACATTTGTTTGTTTTCGTATAAACAGTGAAAATGCAAGCAATGTAAATTTTAGCTTTGATCTTGTTTACTCTTATCCAGTTTGATTTATGCTTAAAATTTAGAGGATGTTCTTAAGTGGTTACAGTATGATAAGGTAACTAAGAGATATTTTATTGGGATGCAATGTCGGGTATATATCTTGAATATTTACTTATTATTAGTTGTTTAGAATACCTTTACAAGTTCGACGTATAAAATACCGCAAAATTCCGAAAATAAGCCCCTCCAAATATATGACCCCAATTCGGTAACGCAAAAAACCCTCCGTTAAATCGCCCCTCCAAATATAAGCCCCCGGGGGCTTGTACTTGGAAAATTGCCCTCAAATGCAAAGTAAAACAAAGCAAAAACGGTAAATTTACTTAAAACTATAAGGCTAGCCCAATCGATTTTCAAACGCAGATTTCCCTCCGTAGATAACCCCCTCCGAATATAAGCCCCTCCAAAAAAAAGCCCCTCAAAAAGGGCCTTTGAAAAATATAAGCTCCTGGTCTTACTTTCGGAATTTTACGGTATTCACCAACATAAACCTTCTCCTTTCATGAATTCGTTCTCAAACAAATATGTTCTATTTTAGTACACTTTCGCGACTTCGACGACAACCCTTTTATCGTAAAAGATGTTCGATTAAGTTTCCTAACAAAGGCTTTTTTACATTTGAAAATCTCGCATGGTTTGATATTTCAACCTTCACTTGATTCCTCATTTAGATTTCCAGGAAATGACCTCTATCCTTATTTTGGCTATTTTTAGCTTGTTTCCCGTGTTTTCGATCGAATTCATTTAGTTGATGGTTTTTTTTGCAACTTAAAATATTTTAATAACAATGGTATGGAATATCTCCCAGTAGGTTAAAGTAAACATCTATGGTTGTAATTTCTGCTCTCTACCGTGAACTGTATTTTTAATTAATTTGTCCTCTGAGTTTCCAGTCACGTCCGTAGTTAATTAATGGAAAAGTTTTAGCGAATCATTTTCAGTGAAGAAGCTTAACACCCTCTGTAAATCGACAACCGGCCTTAGATCTTCAAACTGTGATTTTAGACTTTCCTATCTGTTAATATGAAAAGTCTGTTTACTTGGTATATACCTTGTAGTTTTTATATTGTTCTCCTTGTTTTGTATTGGCCAGTTGACCTAAGCTTATTTGTGAAAACTTAAGTAGAAAAACTATTTTGAC